CTTGAAACCAAAAAGGAAAGTAAAAAAAATAAAAATTGGCGGCAGGTGGGAAGAATACCGTAAGTGAAACAAAAGTTGTAAAGAAAAAAAAGAGATAGAGAGAGAGAGAGAGAGAGAGAGAAAGAAAAGAAAACACGAAAACATAGAAAAAAGGGGGATATAGCAATCGTAGACGATTATGGTACTTTACGGCCCCACGAACAAGCGGCTATGTACATGCGTTTATTTTTTTTTTATTTATTCTTCTTATTAATCTTCTGTGGTCTTTGCGTTTTATCTTAATCCCATGTGCTTGATTATCGTTTGCTCGACTGGTAGTAGTATTCTAGCTTCTATTTCGTTTTCTAATCGCGTTTCCCTCGATTTCTAATTAATCTTCTTTTATTTCGACTCTTAAACCTACAACGGGGCTACGTTTCATACACGGGCGCAAAAATTTGTTCGTGTTTCTCGGTGCTCTATTTTTCATTTTTCCCTCTTCACGCGTCACGTCTAATTGGGTGCAATGCGCGTGAAAAGGACGAGAGGTAAAAAAATGACAAAGAAGAAGAAGAAGAAGAAGAAGAAGAAGAAACAACAATAACAACAACAACGAAAAACGAAAGGTAAAAAACGGGAAAAGAGAAATTTCGTTAAGTATAGCCACGGTAAGTATGGCCTCGCTCAAGCCTCATTTTTATTACGAAAAAATAAAAGGGGGAGGGAAAAAATTGTAATTGAAAAAAAAAAAAAATATGAAGAAAGAATAGTAGAAAATATCTTGCGTTTCACTACGTGCACACGATCGAACTCTACTTCCTTTTCCTTTGGTCGGAATGCTAATATAAAAAAGGTTTCGCGAGCGCGACGAGAGCCCTGTCATCCCCTCTCATCGCGCCAATGGCAATTACTATCTTATTACATCACAATTGTACGACGATCCTGCTCGCTCTCGCGTTTACCCCCTCCTCGGGTAAATAGAGAGGAGAGAAGAAAACTCGATCGACAAAGAACTTAAGAACACTCTGGAATAAAACAAAAAAAAAAAAGAAGAAGAAGAAGAAGAAGAAGAGAAAAAAGGAAAAGCAATAAAACGAGAAAACTGGAGACAAGTCGCTGCTGAATCCCACCGAGTTTTTTTAACCCGTTAACCCATCGAACGAGGATGCGAAAATCATGGTGGAAATATCACTTGATACGATAATAAAAGTCTTTATCGATCTCAACGGAACACGATTAAAGATACGACTTAAAATCACCTGTCATCAAATTGTATTATCATTATCATTATCAATATAAAAATTCATTCAACCGAAGAGGAAGAACAAACGAACACACACACATCGGACGAAAATCATCACAGGGGTGGGACGAGAGAAGAGTATGGTCGGCTCGCCACAGAACTTGTCCTCCCCAGAAATACATATTTCTGGCGAACGAAGTTAGTCGATGAAAAATACGCTATATTTAAGTTACTATTTTTTTACGAACATCAAGAGACTCTAGACTCTAGATTCGTCCGTGGAACGATTCGGATCGGTGCAACCGGAAACGAGATCATCCTCGCGTTCACCTTGTTCATTCGTACCGATCCTGAACTCCTCCTTCGGAGAAATTATATAATCGAACAATCATCGTTATCATCGTTATCATCGTTATCATCGTCATCATCGTCATCGTCGTCATCGTCGTCATCATATTATCGTCGTCGTCATCATCATCATCATTATCATCATCACACTCTATCTTCGCACGCTTTCACTTTAAAGGGCGTATCGACTTTTCTCGACAAAGGAAAAATAACGTACGTACGCCTACCCGAAGAAACGTTCGTTCAAGCAGGATCCTGATGAACGTCTTCGTATATTTCTTTTTTTTTCTTCCCTTATCTAATTCGAGGACGACACACAACAACACCTTTCACGCGCACTTTTCTCAGCTTTAGGACGAATGGCAGTATTTAATTATCTCGCGAATCATCTCGCTCGATCCTATTTAGACATATATGAATACACGTTTACCTATAAATAAATACTACTAGTTTTTCTACACACTGGAATACTTCGACGGAGTACGTCACGAAATCTTATCTGTTAATTTTTAAGATGGAAGAGAAAAGGGCAAACAAACAAATAATAAAAAATAATAATAATAATAATAATAATAATATAATATAATATAATATAATATAATAATAATAATAATAATAATTATAATAAAAAATATTGATAATTAAAAAAAAAAAAAAGAGAGTAGTCTTTACTCGGGAGATAGAGACAGATAGAGAGACAGATAGAACGGTCCACGGGAAAACACTATCGTATCGACAGCCTTATGATGATTTTGGTTTCATCCCGTTCGAGATCCACTCGAGGGAACACACTCGAGCCTCGATCAGGGATACTAACTATCCTTTAATTATTAATTCCACTTCTACGAGCATTCGCGCCAATATGTGGCGGGACATGGCCTATAGAATCGCGAGTACGAAACAACGAAGACCTAAATATATAATGCTAATTAACGAGATCAAAAAGAAAAAAAAAAATAATTATCGTTTAAAGAATACATAATCGCGAGAATCGACGAATAACAAAATGTTATATTAACGATAGAGAAGTGAGTGAATAGAATGGAATAGAGAAGGAAATGAAGGGAGAGATTGAAAGATCGAGCGAAAGAGAAATTTTTAAAATAAAAAAATGATACGATATCGCAAGTATCATAAAAGAAAGCATAATTATCACCACGAGAGACAGATAGCCACGCAAAGAAAAAAGGAAAAAGGAAGGAAAGGAAGAAAATGCGAAAGATAGAGGGAAGATGGAGAGTGAGAAAGAAAAAAGTGACGCGCAGGAGCAAAGGGTGCAAATCACCGCCCCTCGATCCCTCAGCGTCATGAAAGGCGTCCTCGAGGAGGGCGCCACTAAGAGCTAAGCTACCGGAGATCATTCGAAAACTGTCCACGGGACTCGCAGCTAGCCAATTAAGATGCTGCGATCCTCGATCTATCGATTATCTACTTTAATTATTAAACGTCGACTTATTTACTGAATTTTAATTATTTTAGTTAAATCCTCTATAATTACAATACGTTGCTCCCCTCTTCACGTTACGTGTCCTCGCCCGTTTCCCTACCTGCTCAATCGCGCAATTAATCTTTCTCTTTTCCTTATACTATACAAATATATTCTCTTTTCGTTCTTCTTCTCGTAGTATCAGATATATATATATATATTTTTTTTTATTCTTTTACTTTTGGAATACATACTGAGAGAGGGAGAGAGAGAGAGAGAGAGAAAGAGAGAGAGATAGAGAAAGAGAGAAAAAGAGAGAGAGAGAGAGAAAGAGAGAAACACTCTCCTCCTCGAAATACTTTCTATTTACAAATGATTCGACAATCAACCATGAACGTCTAGCGATCCCAATTCTAATCCACGATGATCGTTCATTTCGTTTCGAAAATCGATCGATCCTTGGATGGATGAATCGACAAGCGATTATTATCTAAGATCACGCGAAACGAAATCTCCATTTCCCCCTCCCCCTTCCCTTCCATTTTGCCCCTCTTCGAACGTTCTTGGACCGTTCGCGAGACGACATGGCACGATGTCATTTTTCTTTTTTTTTTTTTTTTTTTCTTTATCCCAGATAGAGTTCTGCCTTGCCTTAGTATCGGCTAGGTAACCGCGTTATCTACAAGCCACGTCAAAATACTTCCTATCGGGACGAGAACGGGACGGAATACGGTGTCTTAATACGATTGAAAAAAAGAAAGAGACGAAAAATCAAAAATCGAAAACACGACGGAGGAAAAGAAAGAGAAGAGAGGGGGGAAAGAGAGTTCCTCTCGGATCGGAGAAACGAAACGAAAGAGAATGGAAGAAGGGGATCGTTGATTCCGTCCCGTTCCCGTGACGTCACACTACTTTATTTAATTCTCTTTATTTTATATCCGTAATGAGATCATCATTTGATTATTGGGTTAAGTCCTCTTTGGATCTCTTCCTTAATATCCTCCCTCCCGTCACCCTCACCCGTCCAAGTAGACCGGCCTCGCGATCGTCATCACCTTCCGATCATTCTCGCATCTCTGTATATATATATCTCTGTATATATGTATATATACATATTCGAATATATATACATATTTCAAATTAGCCGAGAGAAAGAGAAAAAGAGAGAGAGAGAGGGAGAGGGAGAGGAGGAGAAAGAGACAGACAGACAGACACACTCTGCCCGTCTCTTATTTCCTACTCGTGCATGCAACGAAACCGGAAGACGAACGATCGTCGAAAATTTCCTCTGCTCGTCGATGATCACGCGTCGATCGCCGCCGCGGGGCGAGAACACGCCTGGAAATCGATCCTTGCCATCGAATCGATCGCGCGCGACGATCGCTCGGTCGGGAAGGATGGGACAAACTCTCGAGCGAGGAATACTAACTACGCGAGTCGAGGCCGACGTCGATGGAAGAAAAGAAAAGAAGAAAAAAAAAAAAGAAAAAAAAAGAAAGAAAGAAAGAAAGAAAAGAAAAAAAAAAAAGGAAACGAGAAATATATTCCGGACGCGACTCTTTGATCGTCGTTGAGCTAGAGTTACCGGTACGTGGACACGACATCGAGCCATCCTTTTTACATCGGCCATCACCGAACAACCAACATCGGACAAACGTGAAATGGTACTTGGCCTCAGGTAACTCTGACTTCACGACAAGTAATGAGTTGACAAGCTCCACCCTCGTCTTCCTCCTCCTTCTCCTCCTCCTCCTCCTCCTCCTCCTCGTCAATCCCGCTATCTATACCTTCGTATTCGTCGCGTCCCACGAGTTCCTCCTCTTCCTCCTCCTTCGAATCCTTCGCCGCGTTCTCGTCCTCGAGGCGCGACGGATCCGCGCCGAAGGAGCGAAGGGTACGCGACGCGAGCGCATCCTCGAAGGGACACGCGTACATAAGAGAGAACGGATGGTGGTGCGAGAACAGAAGATCGCGTTCGATGTAGGAGTCGTCCAGGCAGAATTCTGTCTGCTGGTTTACAAGCGTGGAAACGTTGTGCGCGGACGGGCGCGGCGTCCGTTGGTTCGTGCGGCGTGCAAAGGGCCAAGGAAGGCCAGTCGCTGGTTTACCAAGTGACGGCTCGCCTAACTGGCCGTCCCTGTTGCGTCGGTTCCAAGCGTCGGATGTGATGATGATTCTTAACGTTCTCGAGGCATCGTGGTCGATCGTCGTGGCATCGACGACACGACGATACCGTCGCGTCTATCGAAGACGAGACACCAGCCTCCATCCGAGGTACAAGGCCACTGTCGTCCACAGAGTCTCGCGGAGGGGGGCTGGAATCAACAGCGACAGGATACTGTCGGTCGAGCCGCTCGTGTTGTTGGAATCTGCGAAGCTCGGGTTCATCGCGGGCAGTCGGGACTTTTCGATCTCGGCGGCCTGAAACGTAAGGGAAAGGAAAAATAATTTGTTAAATTGTTTCATTCTCGTCTAATAATATTCGTTTCGGAGCGAGTCAGTGGTATACCAGAGATCAGAGATTAAGTTCGATACGAGGGGGAAAGGAGAGAGTGGAGGAGTAGAAGAGAGACGCGAGTCGAGTCGAGTCGAGCTGTCGCGTTTCTCTTGAATCGCGGGGAAATGGGGAAAGAAGAAAGGGCAGAGAAAGAGAGGGGAAGGCTCGGTCTAAGGCTCCTCTAATTGGGAGTGTTCTAATTGGATGGAATTACCGTCGATTCGACACTCCTTGCGGCTAAGCCTCCGACGTAGAGAAAGCACCTCGCTCTTTTTATCGACTCCTCCCTTATCCCTTCGAATTTACACGAAGAGAAGAAAGACGAAAAGGGGACGAAAGAGAGAGAGAGAGAGGGGAGAGGGGGCGCTCGAAGGGAAACACGATTAAGGTCCATCGAGTTTTCTCCAGGGAGAGAGAAAGAGAGAGAGAAATAAAGACGAAATATACTTGCTCGAAATACAAATCGTAGCCGGGTTCGCATTAATGCCGGTTAATCGTCAATTAATTTCCGCTTTGAAGAATTTCCACCGAGAAGAGAATTGGCCCGCGAAACTTTATACTCGGTTAAGAATCCGTGTCTCCCGATCCCCTTCGAGCACAAAACTCTTCGTTTCCACGGAACGATTCGATTATCCAATTAGTCATTGGGGGATGAAATCACCTCCAAGTTCGAGGATTATCGATTATCGAGCTAACAATTCGATCGAAACATTCCCTACCGTTCTCTCCCACTCGCACGAAGTTAGTTTCATCGAAATTCCGCTCGGTTGAAATATTTAATCGCCCCGAGAGATAAGAGACTCGTCTCAAGTCAATCTCGTCCCTCGGCTCGATAAGCGCCTCGATAATATTTTCCACGACAGATAGTTTCGCTCTATCCATTCGAGCAGTGTATCTTTCCCTTCGGGGGAGGGTGAAAGGAAATCTTTCCTCTTCGTTTCCTCGATCGCACACATCCCTCTCCCCCTGCCTCCACGCGCGCGACTTCCGATCCTCGTTTCGTCTTAATCCACTCGTGGTGGCCGGACGCGCAATAATAAACGGCGAGAAACGGGGAGAGCTCAATCTCCGAGAGCTTTTATGGAGGGAGGGTTGGTCGGCCCATAATATCTGGTCATCGTCGGCTTCGATCCGCCCCAACACAATTCTCCTTCGTCCCCGCGCGCTCTGATCGAGGATGGAAAAACACTCGACTCGTTGTGTTGCAGCGCGAGGAAAGAGATTACGCGAGGGGTGCGAGCAAGAGGAAGGCGTCACATTAAGAGAGAATTATGGTCGTCTATGGACACTCTTCTCGTGGGAGTCCTCCTCCTCGTCAATTAATAGCGTCTCTATTCCCCTCCTCTCTTCCTTTTCTCGCCCGTCGCTCCTCTCCTCTCCTCTCATCTCGATCGAGCTCCGTCAGCTGGTCTTTCCTTTTATCTGGAATCACGTTTCTTGGGAAGCGCGAACACGCCGTTATCATCGAGCCACCTGCCTACGACTCTGCGCACACTTTCTCTCTGTGCGGGAATATACGAAAAGGTAGCACGTTTCAGGTTCTATAGCTCGGGGCCCGGAAGAGAACGCCCTGAACCGCGCGCTTGGCCGCTCGCGGTTTCGCTCACCGGTTTCGACGCGAAATTTATGCGCGACCCGGTCACAAGGATTACGTTGTCGGTGTTTATCGTTCCCGTGACGGTAAATTTTAATTGTTCGTGGCAACCGGTTCCTGCCTCTTTTCTCGAGCTTTTTCGTTCGAGTTCCGCTTCGAGGAAACGCTTTTAGGATTCGATGCGATTCAGAGGGAAGGCTGCAACTTTTTTAATTCGAGCTGGTAACGATTAATAATTCAACAACGGGGAAATGCTCCAACTCGGATTTAAGATATCGTTGGAAACGTTCGTCGTTCCAAGATGCTCGATACCGATTCAATTAAACTTGGATGCATCAGCTTGGAAGATGCTGCCTCTTTGAAGGAACGTAAAAAGAGGAAATTCTTCCATATATATATTGAATATAAACTTTGAGAATATTTAAAAATTTTAATTTGCATCGAATTCAAGAGGAAAGATTTCTAAAATAGGTCTCGTAAGTTGCGTGAAAAGCAAACAACAACCCCACCGAACTATCGTAGGCCGAGACAAACTGTTGTGCAACGTAATTGCGCGGCACAGCGTGTAAATGGCCGATCGAGCGTTTCGTCGAAGCTAAGAAAGTAAGAAAAAGTCAATAGACAACGGAGGTTTGCGGTGTTGGACAGCGGGATGGTAGGTAGCGAGATGGGTTGGTAAACTCGCGACTCGCGTAAAAAATCCAATGCCTCGTTTCGTTTCTCTCGTTCCATGGAAACAAGGCGCGAATCGTAAAACGACGAACGGTCGGGATCGCGTGGTTCGATTTTCTTGCGAGGAGAGAGAAAAAAAGCGGACAGGATGCTGGTGTCGAGCCGAAAGATCCGTTATGCCTGCTAATGTATCAATTTGCGCGTCGATCGTTCGAATAATCGATAAACGTCGATGGAGAAGGACGTTTCATTAACCGTACCGGGGCTGAATCGTACAGAGTTCGAGGAAATTCTAAGCTGTGCTTGGGAGGAATATTTTATCTTGTCCGTGGAGTAATTTTCTCGCTGTTGTGTTACCGCGAATGGCTTCGAAGCGAAGGTTTCCTGGAACGGACAGACTGGTGTTTCTTGACCACGTTGATTAATGTTTGAAACGAGATTTTTCGATGTTTGTCCCTCCTTCTCTTCGTTTCTTCCTTTCTTTTCTTTTCTTTTCTTTTTTTTTTTTTTTACTTTTTCAAAGCTACTAAGATCTCGAACGAGAATTATTAAATTCCTCCCGTGATAATTGATATTCATTGAAATTTGCATTTTTTAAAACGATAATTCGCAGAACGAGGAATAGTTTCCTTGAATAATAAATCACGAGGAGGTTGGCGAGCGAAGAGGAGATCGCGAGCGAGAAGGAGAGAGCGAGAAGGAGGGCTCATGATTGCACGAGATAATTGAAGATAATTTTCTCGGCCCGTGGCCACGGCTCGTGCTGCCATGCCCACTTAACTTTCACGTAAGGGGATGTGACCACTTAGCCGTTACATGCTCGCTTACTCTCCATGCATATGTAAAGCGGTGCCTTCCCATGACGAATGGGGAACGAACGGGGTATCGTAACTTACGCTCGACCACGCGCACTCCGATCGATTCAATTTCCTTTTGCGCCAAGAAACTCGCGAAAGGCTTGAGGAAAGCCACGATGAACGTATATTTTCGATTAACATATGACGATCGCATCGAAATCCCAGATTCTAATTCTAACGATTCAAATATTCTTCTGAATGAAATAATTCAAAATTTGAAAAGACGAAGAAATTATCGATAAATAAATTTTATAGCTATTTTTAATTTACTTTCTACACCATCGATATCAATAACCCTCCCTCCTCCGAGAGTAACAAGAGAAGACCCTGATCCACCTATCGAAAGACAAACGAAAAGAAAATCACGTACAGAGGACACGAATCAAGCTTGTATAGATAGGACGGAACATCTCTCTCATCCATCGTCGGATTAATCTGACACTTGGATTCCCCGGGAGGGCAAACACCGTGCCAAGGATTCCTTGGAGACAATCCCCCCCTCCCTGAGAATCCACGATTCGTATTATATCAACAAGTCTCGAATCCTCGAATTACCGAAGCGAACGGTTCGCGACAAGCAGAGAGATTTTCTTCGATTTCACGGATCCGTGCACCCCTTTTCAATTATCGCCAATTTAACCAGCAATAATTAAACGTTGCGGGATCGGCTGGCCACCTTTGGACCTTTAAAGCGAATAAAATCGAGACTTGGGTGGATAAAGGAAGGCGCCCTTCCGCCTCCTTTCATCCCCCTTCCGTTGGACGGATCGTTTGCCCTCCTGCCTCCTTTCTTTCGATCACGGCAAATCACGGGCAATCCCGTGAAAAGAATCTTCTCCACCAAGAGATCCTCTTGCCGTACGTGAGTGAAAAGAACGAGCGACCGTAATAATCGTCCTCGGAGAAACTATTCTCTTTCCATCGAGTCTCTCAAACGACTCGATGATTATCGGAAGGGAGGGGATATTAGATCTGTTTTTATGTTCATGCCTGTCCATTATTAGGACCCAAAGCTCGATTGTTGTCGTAGACTGCGAAATGAAATTAACGAGACGATGGTTGCTCACGATAAACAGTTAGATTCAATACGAGAAAGCTATTCTTTTCGAACGACCAACGATTGTTTCGCTTTTTGTTTTTCGCTACGAAAAGATACCTTACGCGGATGATAATATGCGAAAAATTCCAATTCGAATAGAAACATCGAAACTTCCACATACGCGATACGCGATCGTCCGTAATTCGTTTACGACTCGTCCGCGCGTCAATTTCGTCCACCTCTGTAAAAAGAAAAAAAATGGTATCCCTCCATATAATCTCCATTTTTCTCACCTCTCACCGTCAGAACCGGGCGATATCTCGTAAAATCAACGGGACATCCGTCCCGATACATATTCGATCGAGATGGACGAGGAAATGGGGAAGGAGGGAGGATACGCGCGGGTGAAACCGTGATGAAGTGGCGGGAGGGGTGATACACGGTGGGAGCAATAGTAGACGTCTTAACGGTGGCGAGCGGATATTTATTGCGCCCGTGAGACACCGTCGGTGCCACCGATATAACTAAATTCGCGTTTATGGCCCGCTCCGCCCGCCAATTTCTCTCCTTTCTTCCGCAAACCGAGAGATAGAGGAACGCACACACGCGGCGTGGCGAAATGAGAGACACCGAATCATTTCGTGCGGCCATTAAATCGTGCGGATATCGGTGGGCTACGGTTCAACTGATGGAATTCTTCCACCTTCCCGGATCGATCTCAGGGAGATTGCTGTTATCAACGGAGCACGTAACGGAGATGTATCGAATTTTATTTTTATTCGAGAGAAGAAAATTCGTGGAAGCGGTTGTGCAGCGGATGAGTTACGTTACGTTAGGGGGTAGAATTAATAAAGAAAATTGAGCGCGTAAAAAAATGTTAAAGGAGGGGTGGGTGGATGGAAGGATTCTATTTTACAGGCGTCCCTTCGCAGGCATCTGCGCGTATTCGCGCGGTTTTATAACAGCCCCGCTACAAGGGTGACTTTACGACGAGTGAAAAAGCTCGATGGGGATGGCCTCGAATTGTTGACAGCGGGAGCACGCAACGCAATTATTTTTACGCCGTGCACTTCGCACCTGTATATATTCTCTCTGTTTTTCTCTCTCGCGTCGTAAACGCTTGGCGTTACGGCTTCTGGAAATAGGGATAAGCCGCGATGATATTCGACCGCGAAAAGTTGGAAACAAAAGAGCCAATTCCCGAGCTTTCTCTTATTGTTTCAGTATCGGGAGAATGAATCGTTGAATCGCTCTTGAATAAGCAGGATGAATTAAAACTACTGGATAAACTTGGAAAAAAAGAATAATAATAAAACGATAATAAAAATGATAATATATATCATTATGATTAAAAAATGAGGCATCGAGGGATAAAAATATGAATTCAAACGAACGAAAGATTCGATATTAAAGAAAGAGAAAAGAAAGGAGATTTCAACACAGTTGAATAAATTCGAAAAATCTGTGTATCGAGTCGATAGCCTGATCCCCCTCTCCCCAATTGATCGGACGATCGACTGACCTTGGTCTGTGACGCATGAAAGTCGTCGGCGATGTTCCTGAGGTTGGCGCCTACGCTCGCCCACTGGCTCTCGTTGAAGGCCTGTCCCAAGTGGCCGCAGCATTTCTTGCAGATTCGGTCGGTGGCAGGCCCTTTCTTCATAGTAGCGCCACCACCCTCCGAGGCGAGCCTGCGTCTTCGCGGTCGTGGCCTTGGGCTTGGCACCGGTGCTGCACCGTTCTCGTCCCCGCTGCACTCTGGGAACTGGAATGCCGCGTCCCTTGTTGGGCTGCTGGGCGCGGACACCGTCACCTGGGGCGTCGGAGGCGGAAGTTGTTCCACGGCGGACAGCACAAGATCGGGCAGCGGCAATCGGGACAGATCAGAGTCCACCAGGACCACCAGTTGTCGGTCGTCACCGCTTCGTCGTGGCAACCGATCTGAAAAACCAGACGAGTGTGATTTTACTCTTTGGACGAGCCGATGTTACGATTAAAGTAATTTCAGTGACGAAGTCGTGGCAGGAAATCGAGGCAAATTGTATACGTCAATCATGAAATCAAAACCAGTTTAAAAAGGGGAAAAAAAAAAAAAGAAAATTAATGAAAAGTTTCTTTTATGGATATCGACCATCTGTGAATATATAATACGATTAAAAGGCAGCCTTTTATTTATTTATTTTCCTTTTCTTTTTTTAATGTTTAATACAGGAGAACGAATCGATGATTATAGTTATCGTTTCTATCCTTCGATCCAAAGACTTTCTAAACCTGTTCGACGAAATATCAACTCGAGCGAAATCTCAAGATGTCATCGTGGCTGTCTAATCACGGTCGACCGCGATTTGTCAATCCCGCGGGGCGGCCACGTCATCGTCTCTCATAAATCTTCCGCAAAATTCAAGCTCGATAATAATCCCGGCGTCGAACCGCCTCTCAAGTCGCAGCGTAAAGTTCAAACTTTCCTCGATCATCCGATAAGTTGGCCGACGACGATTCATCATCGCGGTTTCGATCGGTCGGAGCGATCTCACCGACTGCCTACTGGAAACAGATGGCAGTCGGCGATACCGGTAATCGACGAAATACGCGGTCCAACCGATTCGTATTCAACGTATCTGGATTTGCCATCGATAATTAATCGTGGCGCATAGGCGAGCGTTGCGTCACACAATGGAAATGCTAAGATCTACGTACGTACGTACGCACGAGGGCTGAGAGGTTGCTTATAAGGTTTAATGCCAGGCCAGACAACGGCAACAGCGATCACCGTGTTTGCCCCTTAATGGCAACCAGTGACATTGTTGGCTAATGATTGTCTGAAAATTTACAATGCTCGATAGCCTTCGCTCCACCACGATTTCGACACGTCCGCGACACGATACGATACGTGTACGGATAGCGGAGAGATCGTGCAATAGCCGAGCGTTTCTCTGAAAAATGGAGGAGTTAAAAGGAAGAAAAGAAGCGGAGAATATACGTATATACTCCGTGGCTGGTGCGGTATCTGGCGGTCAGGAAACGCGCGATATCGGACAGCCGAGCGGAGAACGCTCGTGTTTCGACGCTTTTATCGCCGTCCGAAGAAGAGTTTTTCGGTTGATAAGTGGCCACGCGTTTTACGTCTCTCGCGTCGACGCCAGATAAACGCGGCGTAATTCCGGCTGAGAGAACCGGTAAACAGAAATGCACTCGGTTCCCCGTTTTTACGACGTCTTCGATAATTAACCTTTTAAGTAGGAGCATCCATACATCGGTGTAAACCTCAATTTTGTTGATCGATCTCTGAATATATCGTAGAAATCATAATTTCTTTATCTGTCGATTTCTATATATGTTTTTTGTTTATCTCGTTTCTCAGTTATATGGTATAGAAACCTATGCGAAAAAATACAAAGATTATAAGTGATATTTGAAAAAAATTGCAGCGTATAATTTCAAGTCGAGTCAAATTTTCATAGTATATATTCACGAAAAAATTAGTTCCAAGCGAAGCGTTCAATTTTTGTACTTGAAGAGTTAAGAGCGAAACGCAGGGGAGAGGTCAGGGCCAGTAGTAATTAATTTTAACGAAGCCTTTTCGCAGGCCCAAACACTCGTCGCGAGAGAGGGCCTAACGGTTCATTGTTCGCAACATTTCCGAGACGCAGTAACAAGTTTTACGAACCGCGAAATGGTACTCGTAAACCGAGTGCAACTGTTTTGGAATATTCGAAGCGGAGAACGGAGTTAACCGGGTCCGAGGGACGATAACGATTCGCATCTAAAAGCCAGTACATAATCAGGTAAGACGATTGAAACTGCATCGTATCACGCGAACGCATGAATAATCGCGACTATATCACTGACTCATCCACCAGTTCCATTAATCCTTTCTGCATTGTCGAGCCACGGATTAAAAGCTTAAAAGCTTGTTTCTCAATCACGGACCTTCTCTCTCTCATTACTTAAAATTAATCTCCAACCATTACACCATTGTATAATATCTGGAATAAGATTTTTATTTAAAGGCCTATTTACACAAAGCGTATTAAACTTTCAAACGCGACGAAACGTTGATGACATTTCGAATTAAAAAAAAGTTCCAACTTGATCGATCAATTTTCAACATCTCGATGACTTATGAAAAAAAATCCCCTTTCTTCGTCAATACGATCAACAAACTGTGAATCCTCGCGCTTGTAACATTGCGCGGCCGTAGGCTGACAGAAACATTTAAACGCGCGGGTTTTTCGATGGAAAAGCGTGGCGCGGATAAATCGAAGCCATGCGTGACAAAATAACAATTCCTCCGCGCCTCCGGCCGCCATTGTCTCGGAGACCGGTCCCGTTTGCGCGTGCGCACTCGTACTCGCTCGCGCAGTTGCATCCTTGACATTTCGAGTAAACGTCCGCGCTTGCGCCGGCGCGCGCGCAGCCGCACTCTCGGCCCACACTCTCACGAGCCGCTCTTTCACTTGTGCAACCCGAGCGCGCGCGCATCGAGCCACACATCGTCGCCTACTCGCATCGAGAACCGCTCGATCGCGAAATCTCCACGTTTGCCAGGCTTTTCACCGCTTGCAAAACACTCTTTTATCCGGGCCAATCGGCGGCCGCAGTATGCTTTCTATCTCCCGATTTTCCCCCGTAAAATGTCACTACGCGCGTTATAACAGATAGAACACATACGTAGGCCTTTTCCAAAATCGACTTACGTATCTCTAGGTAATTATCAATCCCAACCGCTTATTAAGCGTGACAAACAATTAAGTTTGATTCTGATTTATGCTCGATTCGAATACGCGCGATTATACACTTTTCGAAGCGATCCTAAATCCTTTTGATCCCAGTAAATGTTTCTCGCTGATTTTATGACACGTAGAGGTAACGATACTGTTGCCAAATTTTTATTCGATACTCGAATCGACACGCTATAGGAAGAATTGCACGATTCTAGTAAGTTGAAGGGGAAGGAGGAGAAGAGGAGACCGCTCGCGCGTCCCGTGGAAGCGTTCAGGGCAAAAAGTGCAGCGCGCACGTGGCCAACACCCGCACGCACGATCTCTCGCGCGCGCGCACTTTGGATCCGCGTGTACGCTTCCTCTCGGATGCACGCGCGCGATGTGTTCGTGGGATCGGGGCGGGGGAAGACGGGTTGGAACCGACGAAAAGGAATCGAGACGAAAGGCGACGGAGGAGGAGGGACGCGCGACGAGTATATAAAGAACAAGAAGGAACGAAGGGCGGGGAAATGGCAGCCAACGAAGGGGAATAGGGGAAGGGGGGCGTTTAGTGAAAAAAAAAAAAAAAAAAAAAAAAAAAAAGAAACGAGGTTCACGAGACGCAGCGAGGAATGCGATGCGAGGAGAGAGAAAAAAAAAAGTGAGTTGCACGGAGAGATAGAGCGGCGGAGATAATACGCAGGGGGGGAAAAAGGGGGAAAAAAAGGGAACTGGAGGAAGCAAAAACAGGAAGGGGAAGAAAAAAGGAGGAGGGAAAAAACGTGGAACAAGGGGAAATTTCGAGTGTAGAGACAATGTGCGTTATGTATACGCGTTATGTCAAAGAGACGGTAAGAGGGAGAAGGGAAAAGGGCGAGGAGTGGGAGCGGATCTGAGCTCTGGCAGCATATGCGAGCACGTGACTCACATGGAGCGCCCTTTGTACGCGTAAGTGCAACGCAACTTGTTACAGTATGCATACGTGTGTAATCCTAGTGGCGCTCGCGCGATCGCTCGCGATTGTGTGCGCGCGTAGGTGCGAGCGAGCGTGTGCGTGACACCGAGAGTGAGCCGTGGTGAACGCTCAACTGCACAAAGAACCCCTCTCAAGGCCGCTGCAGCCGCGACACACACCAGAAAAATAGACATGAGCGCGCGCGCATAGAAATACTCGCGAATCGCGAGCGATGTCAAGCGGGCGTACGCTCTTGGCGCTCTTGGTGGTTTTTTTTATCGTGTCACGATTTTTTTTTTTTTTTTTTTTTTTTTTTTTTTTTTTTTTTTTTT